TACGGACATAAAAAAAAACTGGGAGAGGTACATTTCTTCTAGTGATGTGGTTTATTTATTTTTTATTTTTCTCATCTCCGGTGCCTCTATGCTATAATTACATGATTTAATCGGTTTTCAGTTTTCTTTGGACATGTAATTTTGGCATTGGCGTTTATGTTGTTTAGGGTTTTCTATATTCGTCACTTGTAAATGAAGAACCCTTCTGCTATCAATGGACTTTTTGGATTGATAAAAGCACTGCAAATTATTAATGCCCTAAAACAACTTATCTATGGTACTCTTGAAATTGCTGTTACTAATTCGTACTTTTCATAAGTTCAACTGAATATTACCTAAATCATATTTATATTTCCATATTTGATGTTATCATCTCCTTCATTTCAAGTACATTTTGTGCAGGTAGTTCAAAACTCACAATGAAGCATGAGGATGACGATATAGACCAGGTTCTGGGAAGTGAGATAATGGGATCTTCTTCGGCAAGGTAAACATCAATTATTGACATGATATCTAGTATTCAAAGGACAAGTAGCAATACTTCTTATTTAACTATTCAAGAAACTGTTGCACATGATAGGAGACGAGAAATACATAGAAGTCAGTCTATTGAAGAAATAAGGAATATCCAGAATGAGGGAGGGTCAGTCAGTCCTGAGGAATTGCGTCAAAAGGCATTGGAAGAAAAAAAGAAGTATAAAGTTCTCAAGGGAGAAGGTAAATCTGATGAAGCTCTGAAGACCTTTAAGAGAGGGAAGGAACTTGAGAGACAAGCTGAGGCTTTAGAGATAGCCATAAGAAAGAACCATAAACGGGCATTAACATCTGGCAGCATGGCTGAGATTCAGAATAAGGATAAAGAATCTGGCAGAAGAAGCAAGCTTTTTCCTCAGGTGGGAAAAGAAAAGGATGATTTTGCTGCAGAACTCAGGGACTTGGGTTGGTCTGATATGGATATTCATGATGAAGCTAAAAAACCAGCAAGTTCGTGCTTGGAGGGTGAACTCTCGTCCCTTCTTGGAGAAGTTTCTCAGAGGACGAATAAAAATATTGGTCATCATGGCATTGACAATTCTCAAGTTGTTGCTCATAAGAAAAAGGCTCTTATGTTGAAGCGGGAAGGAAAGCTTGCAGAAGCCAAGGAAGAATTAAAGAAAGCTAAAGTTTTAGAGAAGCAACTTGAAGAACAGGAACTCTTGGGAGCTGCTGAAGATTCTGATGATGAACTATCTGCAATAATCTCTGGCATGGATGATGACAAACCATATGATTTATCACTTCAATATGAAGGGGAGCATAATTACGACTTTGACCACCTTGTGGGAAAAATTGATGATTTTGGTGTTGATGCTAATTTTGAAGTTACAGACAATGATATGGTGGACCCAGAAATAGCTGCTGCTCTAAAATCATTTGGCTGGACCGAGGATTCTATTTTGCGTGAAAATATGTCTGCATCTATTGACTGGGAAACCCTGTCATCAGAAATTCAATCATTGAAAAGGGAGGCACTTAATCAAAAAAGGGCAGGTAATGTTTCAGAGGCAGTGG